TATTTCCGCAACCCACTTCGTTCATCGGCATGATCATAATTTCGCGCCACGAGGTCATCGACCGCTTAGCTTAGCTTAGTAAAGCGTCTGGGCGCGAAGCTGGAAGACACGGGTTCGAATCTCGCAGCGCTGAGGGATTTTGTTCATTTATCTACAAAAATTAATAAACCAAAGCTTCCTCTTGAGTGTAAACACTAGCGCTTTAAATAAAAATTTATTGTAGAAAATAAATAATTTTAATATAATTTTAATAAAAAAATGTTTATAAAAGCTTTTTTATTTGCAAACCACGACGGAATGTCAGAAAGATGAACAACAAATTTTATTAGCTTGATAAGAAATAAAGAGACAGACTTAAGTGAATGTTGTGCGGGCTGGTTTTCACTTATAATATGAAACTATTAAATGAGGGAAAGATAAATAAACCTCTAAACCTGAGGCTGAACAAGAAAAAATAAAAAAATTATATTTATAAAGATGCATTCAACATTTCTTTCCCATCGCCTATTGGGTCTTTGAGCTATATGGGCAGCCCGTGAAGAAAGTTTCTCGTTGTGGCAGCCTCATATTGGCCATCGTAACTAGATGGAGTGTGCAAGTGTGAAAAAAGTCGATGCAGGAAAGAAGATGCAGGCTTTATTGTAGCTGTAATTTCACTCCTCAGGTATAATAACTTTGAATTTTAATGCTCTATTCTTCTAGGGCTAGACCACTATGTATTACGCACTAAGTCATATTGAATCATACGAACTCAATAATATGATGGTAATGACGGATTCTAAAGAGTTGCTTATAAATATATATTACTAGCTGCTCCCCGCAACTACATCTGCGTAGAATAGGCTGAAGGCGTAACATTCAGCCAGAAAGACAGATATACGTAAAATATGTATATAAATTATAGCCTATGTCTTATTTTATCTGAAAAATTGCTGAAAATTTGGCTCCGGCTACCTCACTCACCAGATGAATCGCGGAAGTATTTGTCATACTTCAGCTTTACGCTGGTCTTCTGTGAGGTCGTGGTACTTACAAGGACGGGCCTGCCCATTCGTGCAATAGCCGAGGCTGCTGCGTGGCCCTACCACCGTACCTGAATTTTAATATTCTGATGTATAAGCTATATTATTGTAAAGTTTCGTTACAATCCATTCAGTAGTATTTGCGTGAAAGAGTAACAAACATCCATCCATACATACAAACTTTCGCCTTTATAATATTATAATTATGGATTTAAAATAAATGTAAATCGGAACTATACCTTGAAATGAAGTCATCTTCGGTCGACTCAGCGTAAATCTGCTTCTATTGAAACCTTAGTTCTTTTTTCATTTCAATAAAGAGAGCAAAAATGCATCAGCAACTGTGTTCGGGTTCAGAATAAGGCCTACTTGTCAAAATTAATGATTATGCATTTTTTATTTAAATTAGATTTTTTTAATTGACCGAATTTACCTTCCTTATGGCCTCATCTAAATGTTGAAATTTAACCCTGGGTCACCAAAAGGTAACAAATGGTTATTTAATTTTGATATTTGATAAACTTAGATTTTTGATATTTTTTTCCAATTAATGCGTAAATAACATTAAGCAATTAATTGACCAATTGTGACCATTTTGAAACACATTGAAATTATGTGTAATCCGATCGCTAGGATTCATTTTGGCCGCCAATGTCCTTGGACTTTAAAACGTTCAGTAGTTAGTGTCAAAGTATTGGCCAATTGCTAAAAATCACTGATCATATATGACCACTTCGTGACAAATACGATCCCTTTTAAGAGGTTAGATTTCACCATTTGAGCCGCTCATTGGATGAGGCCACTCCATTGTTTTTAATGTTTAGGCTACAACACATTCTGCTTTTAAGGGTATGTCTTGTACAATTTTATCGAATCAAAAATTGCTCAAAATACACATACTCGTATATCTAAAAAACAAATTCTCATAAAATATACTGTCTTATTTCGATTCACCGTAATATGCAACTGCAGGTTTAACAGTTTAGTATAATTAAAACTGTGACTGGTTTATAAACAAAAACACACCTAAAAAGAAGAAGTAATACCAACTGTAACCCGATTTGAAGACTTAAAAACTCAATGACATTAAAATTTGTAGAAAAAGTACGCAAAGATTGTCGCCGCTGTGGGAATCGAAGGAACATCTTAAAAGTGTATTAAACAGATTATGATTATCCGTAACGAAATCTACTACTTTTTAAAACTGTGACTGGTTTATAAACAAAAAAACACCTAAAAAGAAGAAGTAATACCAACTGTAACCCGATTTGAAGACTTAAAAACTCAATGACATTAAAATTTGTAGAAAAAGTACGCAAAGATTGTCGCCGCTGTGGGAATCGAACCCACGTCTTCGGCATTCGCGGCCTGACGCTTTAGCCACTAAGCTAAATAACCGAACGACTTTTATCTACATTGTTTTCAAGCATTTGAATTGATTTCGAAATTTTATTGCTTAATTATTGATAAATTTATTGAAATTTTAATGTTTAATCTTAAATGCAGAGGTCAGCACTATAAAAAAGTTACAATTCAATGATATCTTAGTCAACGATTACAATTGTGAGGAGTAGGGTGCCTGACGTTTCAGTTATATAAATAAGGCATGCAAATGCAAAAATCTATCCGTAAGAAACATTTAGTAAATAATATAAAGATGACTAACCTTAGCTAAATTTGACGAAAGTTTCAGCAATATTATATTATGTGATTAATTGAACCATCTAGTACACACTCTACTTAACAAACTGTCATCCATCAACTACCTAACACAAACTATATTTACGTTAATCCAATTAGGCTGTCCGTACAGCTGCGTACAAATTTGGTTTTCAATCATTCTTGGTCAAATATTTTTCTAATGCCGCATAACCAAACCTCTACATGATATGTTCCGTTGCCAAGAAAATGAAAATATTAACATAGATGTGTACATAAATATAAAATATGTACATAAATATAATCCATGGCTACACTTCTTTTCGAGGAAATTTTATTTTATTAATAAATATGCAATTCACCTTAAAAAAATAAAACTCACCCTTACCAATTTACAGAATATACCTTTGCCCAGCAGAGGTGGTGGATGTGTCGTTTGATATTATACTTTTACTTATACGAGCAACTATTTAAGTAGAGAAAAATCAACTGTTTCGTAGTTCCACGTTTCGCTGATGTTACATTTTTTTGTATTGATTTTGTTTTGTTTTACTGTAGTATTTATAGCTTTAATATATAATTTATTTTACTTTTTTTTAATTAGATTATTGGTTGTGTGCGTCCTTTTTTAACGTTTTGGTAAAAAAAATATTTTCTTTCTTTCCAGTGCAGTGGTACCCACATAGGGTGTTACTTTACTTTTGTTTCCTTGAAAATTTCGTCATTGTTTTGAAATAATATAGTATGACATATTATTCCAAAAACATTGACAAATTTATATTTTAAAGTCCTATAACTTATAGTTGATTTCTGTTATCACTTTTATTGTGGAAGAATATAATTTCAATAGTTACAGATTATGAAAGTATGGCATCATAACGTCTTAAAAGTGTGTTAAATAGATTATGATTATCCGTAACGAAATCTACTACTTTTGGAATTACTTTTAAGTTGTTGTTGTTTCGAATAATCAAGAACAACTGAATTGCAACTAATTTCTTGTATTTAAGCGAATTTTATACCTTGTTTCATGAAACTACTTCTCGGATTTAATTAGTTTAATTACATTTTTACATTGCCAAAGTTTAAAAACCCTTTTTATCGTTAATTTCACAGGCCAGACTTTAACCACGATAAAAACTGCAAATATTTATCAACTTCATTTAACAATAAATTGCATTAATTCATCTTAAAATGACAATAGAAAATATATTCCTTTACGAAGCTTATATTGAAAGGGTAATGTATCTCAGAAACTTTTAGAACTATTATTATGATGTAGAAACGTATATATGTATAAGTCCTCGTAGAGAGAACTTTATAAAACTGTCATACCCTTTTCATTTTTCTTACAAAGCTTCTCATTTATCCATTACTTTAGAAGTAAGGATTTGGCATTAAGTATCAATAAACTATAACCGTGATTAAGCGCAAATACGAAAAATCTCCTTGAAAATTGCCCTAAATAATCAAAGTAGCATATTATTATAAAACAAAATTTATTTTTTATAACATTAAAATAAAGGAGCCATTACGATGGTTCAAAATAAAATGTTTTTCTAATTTTTCCAATGTTTAATTCTATTTGTCTCTTTTGTCGTGACAAAAAAAAATTATTTTAAACCTCGACCTTTCTTTAATTGAAATGAATTAATATTGAATAAAAAATTGGTATTTCATTATGAGCTGAAGCAAACAAAATATTGAATTATGTTCTGAAAAAAAAGGTTTACTTTTACGAGATGAATACAAACAATGGATAAATATTGCGAAAGAGAGAAGAGTAAATAAAACCATTAAAAGATGAAATTTATATAATTCTTCTTTAATAACAATAAGGGGATGCCGAATAAAAATATCAGTAGGTACATTCGAACTTTTCAACCGTATATGAACATAAGATGACACATAATCAACTCCAGTTTAACGTAAATTTTATTCCATCATAATTAAAAAACAAAACGATCGTGGTAAAGCATTTTTGCCGTAAGTATAAAAATATTATATGTTCGAGTAAATATCATTCGAGGATGATTTTATACTTTAGTTGCTGCCGTTCCACATAATCATATTGTTGCTGGGAATATTAAAATTCCATGAGGCGAAATTTTCCGACATAAAATGAATTAAATTATAATCCGATGCATTCCATTTGATGAAATACCTTTTTTAAATTCGGGTTGGCACAACTACAAAGTATTAACAATTTAAATATAACGAAGAATTTATCAGTCGTAGAAATGCCGGGTTCCTTTGTCATGAGTAACGCAGAACACTTTAATGTCATCTTGTCTAATTAAGAAAGTCCGACAAGGTTTAATTAGCTTCCAATAAGTGTGACATACACCAAAACGTAATTAATAAAGCAGTCACTGAAGTTGAAATAATTCGACTTGCACCTGGAAAGATTAAAAGTAGTTATTAAGGAATAGTACGCCATTCAAATTAATTTCAACAAATGGGCGAGATATCTATAGAAAATGGATATCATTTCTAAAAGTGGATGATTACTTTACAGCGTGGCGTTACAATCGCGACAATAAATGAACACACATATAGAAGATAACTTTTTAAAATTGTATTTACATTTACATTTCTTAAACATCAATATTTAACGAGTTATTAAATTTTTCAAAATAAAGAATTTTAGAACACCCTTACGAATAAAACTGTAACGTAAAGTTCATTTGTAAAGGTCACAAAGCATATGAATGGGTTAAATGAATTTTAAAGACACAAAACATACTGTTAGAAGGAGAGGCTTGTAATGCAACGCTGTGGCAACGAAGGAAAAAGTCTCTGAATGTATGAATCAGTCAGTTGTAGTTGTATGTGATGTTACAAATTTTGTTACTTAACTTAATTAGTTTGTTTGAGAAATATTTTTTTTAATTATGGATTTTTTTAAAGTAAATATTTTTTATGATTATTAGCAAGTAGCGTTAGACGTGTGTTCATTTATTGTCGCGGTTGTAACTGCACGTTGTATATGTATTGTAGTGTATTATATACAATTTGGTGTATGTGTGCATGTAGTGTATTGTTATAATTAATGTAATACATTACATACACTAAATTAATCATTACTATAATTTAAATAAATAAATTAGATTATAAAACAATCTACTATTAACAAAATAACATAACACCTCCGTGTCTTAACAGATTAGAAATTAAAGTTGTATTTCACAGTTTAACGAGTTAGGTTACTAAACTTTAGCACTAGCAATGTACGAGTATATCATACATTACTATTCGAGAAACCAGTAATTATAAGTTATGTAATTAATTGTGAATTTAATGACTCCGTGGCGCGGTTGCCGTGGATTCGATTCCGACACGGAACAACTATTTGTGTGACCTACAGATAGTCGTTTCGCATCTGGGCGTTTGTCCACGTGAAATTTATCTTTGTAAAACTTACAACACAGGATAACGTTGTCCTAAAGTAAGGGCAATGTTTTTCAAAAAATAAAAACAAATACAATAAACAAAATTTAAAGCTGAACAATATGCGTTCCCTAAGCATATGTTCGTATTAAAGGAGGCTAGTTTACTCGGAGAGGAATTAAAAATTCAATGCGTTTACTCACAGTCGCTGGTGTCAGCCATTCGGTGTATGGGATAGAGGACGACCTCGTTTATCTCGGGCAAGCTGACTGGAGTGGTGGGGGGCCGTTCCTCCAGGGCGCATTGCTCATTACTTTTCAAGTATATGGAGTAAATGTTGGCGGTGCAGCGGATCTGCGTAACAAAATTATTCAATAGAAAAAAGAAATATGTGATTGTACTAAATAAATTTATTCTTATTAAAGCTTAAATTGATTAAACAGATACATATTTTTGTTAAATCAAAAAACACAAGACTAATGTATTCAAAAATTCTTCGATAAACTCTTCGATTCCGTTCGAGGTGGTAGAATTAACTGAATGGATTGTTGAACTTAATAATTTACTGCTTATTGCATTTGTTTTCATATAGACGAAGTGCCGTTTATATTATTTTAATGTACACAAGTGTTTTAAAATTTTCTACCCACTTTAACCAAACCTTTGTACTATAAAAAAATAATCCATTGAACTGATTTGGAATGCATTTCGTAGCGACATGGTCACAGACTGTTTTGTTTTTGTTACGGCATCCTTTGTCTTTCCATTTTATATTCCGCGAGCAATCGAACACTTTCTCGCTATAACTTGTTTGAATTGATACCAAAAGAGAAAGAATACAAATTCTGTTATACTGCTTTTAGTGTTGGATTTTTATCTGTGCAATATTTTATTGTGAACCTCTACACATATAACATTAATGAAACTTTTATTTAATGGCATGTACACATAACATGTATACATGACTGTAGCTTTAGATATATTATCTGAAGAGAAATGGGGTACATCTGAGGGGTGAACCACCCTCAAAAGCGAACAATTTCGAGTGTCACGGCCGATAAATATTGATAAAAAACGCATTGCATTTGACATTTGATTTGAACAAAAGATTTTGGATACAACAATATCTTTTAGATCAATTACATTATTAATATTCTCATCAAAGCGTGTGTTGGCTTAAAAAGTATGCAAATGTTTAAACTATTACAGCATTTCATGTTTTATTAGCAAGTATTGTAATGAAGGTTTTGTTTTTGTAAAGACTTTTTAATTATAGTAGGTACCCATGATACTTTTGGTATATGGTAGTATAATTTTTCCTTACTGTGAGAGCTAAATTTAAGCTGCTAATTTAACATGTCAGATTAGATAGCGGCCGTAGAATTTATTGCTGGAGATAAAACTCTTTTATTTTATTTGAGAAGAATAATTCATGTTTTTGCTTACTTTCATTTTGCCCCTAATAAAGTGATGTTTTTGTACCACAAATTGTATAGTACTGAACGCATTCCATAAACTTCCATTCGCAGGGCTTACCCGATGCCATACATGTTGTTTGTGTGCCTGAGAAAAAAATAAACAGTTTATTGATTAAAATTATCATTAGTATTATATTTTGGTTCGATATTGTAACTGTGGAAGAGTAATATCAAGACGATTATAATACATAAAAGTAAATTTGAAAACATCTAGGTAAAATCAGTGTTCAGAATTATGTTCAGCTTCGTTTACTTTCTTCTTTTATAAGCAGTTATGAAACAGATTTAATGTTTTTAAAACGTAGTGCGAAACTATTAATAATTAAAATAATAATACAGTCTTACCGGTTCACTATTAATAAAGAAAGACAAATTTGCTGCTGGCAAAGAGTTGAAACTAGCACATTCTACTTTGAGTTTCATCCCTGTACGGTAGTACTGTTTAAGGCCTTGCATCTCCGGCCCCGAATTTGGTAGATCTGTAGAAGAATACAACCTGAATTTATAAAGGCACAGAGTTTTTGCTTCTGGTGGTCAATGTTAACTATCAGCTTTTAGTAGGCGCATATTCAAATCAAATTGACGAAAACGCATGTTAATTTTGTGTGTGCAAATTTTACTGCTCCGCACCCATTACTTAATTATTGATCTCACCGAGCCTTTCACGGTTTTGTGTTAAACATGTTTGAAAAGTGAAAGTGATTAGCTATCCCTTTTAGTAGTAGTAGGATTAGGATAGAAGATAGAAAATAAATTTTCTCTACTCCCAGGGTCGACGGGAAGAAAATGCTTATTAGCATTGAGTTTGGCGTTTGTTTAGCCTTAATTTGAGGTGTAAACAATACATTTTTAAATTAAAATAAATAAGAAAACTTCTTGCGTATGCCCTCACTCTTCCTGGAAGACAATAAAACAACAATATGCATTAGCTCTGTGAGTTCTGCAACTTTAAATTAATATTAACGCGTTTAACAAAATAGGTATATTTTTACTTTTTATTTTATTTGTTTATTTAAAAAGGTTTATCGACAATTGTTGACACTGGATACTTCTTAAAGCTAAGTAGATAATAAATTAATATCTTAGACTAAATTTAACAGTGGGCTGTACACGGGTGGTCAACATAATTTACTTGATGATAGCTTAATACTAGACGATAGCATTGTTTTTAATTAATTGCATAAACGCATATGTTTTTTTATTTTTGCAAATCAGGTCAAATTTAAAATCAATGCGGTCAAGATATTTTAAATATTAAAACATATTAATACTAAGTTCTACGAAATGATCCATTTCACGAATTTTGCTCCTGTGATTTGTAAAGATTTGGTAAACTTCCAAGCAACAGTTCTAAAGGAGTGGCGCCTGCAATCCGAGAAGATTGTAATGGACCGATGCCAGTAGCGCAGGGGCCGTGATATCGACATGCAAGAACCGCAGTAGTTAAACTTACCGAAGCTTTTAAATAGAATACTATGCAAAAGTCATGACCATTGAGACATGTCCGAAAAATTTTACAATTACTTCGATTTTTTATATACGCTTTCGGATATACTTCATATAAGCTGTCTCACAAACCAGGAATCTGTATTGATGAGAACATTCTACCCCTTGAGGATTCAACAGCATTCTTTGGAATATGCATTGACTGCAAGCTGCAATGGGGAGCTCATATAGATAAACTAGCTAAGAAATTGAGTGCTGTCGTCTTTGCCATACGCAAGATCAGGCAACTAACAAATGAGGCAACAGCTAAAATAGTTCATTATGCTTATTTTCATAGTATTATCTCTCATGGTGTCTTACTTTGGAGTTCCGCATCCGGCTTAGACGAAATATGTACGAAATAACCTACACCTTTTTACAAAAAAACATACCACATTGCGTCGGGGCCGTGGTGACACGCTGGAAATACCGAGTCTTAGACAAGCTAAAACCAGGAAATCGTTTCATGGTAGGTGTATTAACTTACATAATAGAGTAGGTGACATCCACAAACAATCAAGTGTAAATAATTTCAAACATTTTGCAAAAGCTACCTTAATGTAAAAGGCCAATTATAATGTAGAGGACTTCATGGCGCAGTTGCTAAGGTATTGGCTTCGGGGGTCGTAGGTTCGATTCCCACGATCCGGCAACTATTTGTGTGACCCACAGTATCTGTTTTTGTTTGTAAAGTAATAAGTCTACTAAATAACTATTACCACCAAATACTAATAAGTTACTAGTTAAGTAATCGGCGATCGGTATTCCAATAAAAAAAGATTTATTTAATTAATTACAAGGTGTTAACTGTATGACAATTTGGAATGGACTGATTTATAATTACAAAAACTTATGAACTAAAACTAATGGTGTCAGCGTTCCTTCGATGCGCCTTCGCCGTGCTGAGTCTGCAGTAATCGCGGTTATGACGTGCTAACTCCTCCCTCCTTAAGATAGAAGCGAGAGTTGGAGCTTCTAGCAGCGTCTTCGCTGCTGTTGCTATCCTGTGGTAGTCTATTGCTTTTCCACTTGTACAGCTTCCAGATGGCCGCTACACTCAGCAGCCCGTATAATATTAAAGTTGTCCAGCTGGGGGTTGCCATCAGGGTTGTCCAGTTGGATTCATCTTGTGGGATTATGTCATCTATCTTGTTGATGAGTTTGTGGATGCTGTCTAATGAGATATCCTCTTGAATTTATTCAAACTTGATGTGTTCTTGCGTGATTTGCTGTGCCTCAGGAAGGGGGATGGTTTCGTCGTTGAAGACTGTCCTCAGGTAGTGTGTAGTGTGCTATTCAGGACATGTATCCGACAATCTTCAGTCAGTGTGACTATGAACGTTCCTTTCGTCTTTTTGTAGTCTATCTTGGTGCCACAATGGATTTTGATAATTTCATCATCTTGCAGGATCAGTATCCAGCTGTTATCCCGGATTTTTCCTTTGGTCAGGTGCAGCTTGGCATACGTGCAATTGGCTTTCTGATGTTGAACTAGCGACGCTATGCAATCTTGTGTGTTTTTCATTCTTCTGACTTCCAGGGATTTGCAGAGATGAGTGTCATCGGTGATTGGTTGGCAGTCTTCTTCCTCGATGTGGGCGTACTCATCGCTACCAAGTGCAAGGTATTTGGGCTTCGGGATTATAGTTAGGTTGTTGCGGTCAGGAACGGAGTAAAGGTGAATAAAATCGTATATTTTTGAATCAACAGAGGGGATTTCCAGGATAAAGTTTATTAAGTGTGGTGTTCTATATGCTTTAACCTTTATAGATTTCTCTATCTTATGTATATTTATAATATTTATCTCATCTACTGGATTCATTGAATAATGATTACGCAAAATTACTAATTCTTTAATAAGATTTTGTGGACCAATAACGCTTGGATGCATAGTTCCTAATTGAGCGAACGTGACGGCATCTTCCAAAGTCATTAACTTTTCTAAAATTATTTGTAAACTTAAGTCTATCTGTAAATGTATATCTAATAAATGTAAACTGTCCCTAATTCCATTAGAGTTTTGCGTTTATATTTTGCAATATCTTAACTACATATTTCTGATTTTCCTCTAATTTACTTATTTGACTGCCGAATTCATTGATCATACTTTTTGCTAATATTAAAGATTTCTTTTGTGAATTTTGAACTCTATTAACCTTGTTACTTATATCTGAAATTTCTTTCTCGAATTTAACGGCATCGTCATTATTATCTAAGTTGCCGGTTATTGTTTTTACGATTGTACCTAATCCGTTTATTATTCCGCGTTTTACTCTAACTGGGGGAATCAAATATGCTAACTTCTTATTTATTAAACTTATACTATATAATATTAGATCCTCGTAGGACTTATATCTATAATTAGATGTTAAGGTATTTTCAACATCTTTAGTGCTTGCATATAATGCCATTAAATTTAATTAATTTAATTGTTGCTAACTTTGTTTGTTATGTCATACACACAAGCTAGGCTAAAGTACTCGGTCTGTCTAAGTAACTGTCCCTATTTGAGTAATAGTACGCCGTTATCATTACTAATGGGATCCAGGGTCACTTTTGCGGTTGATGGTTCCTGCGACGAGGATCTTGAGAACAAGATGAGGCCTACGTAGTAACTTGAAGTGAACTCTTATAGACTTTGAATTTGGGTGACTACCTATTATCTCCGCATATATACCACATAATCAATACAGCAATCAAAGAAGTAGACACTGTACTTGATCTTGGAGTAATTTATGATAGTAAGTTAACGTTTAATGCACATTTAGAAAATATAACAAAAAAAGCATCTAAAATGTTAGGATTTATCGTAAGAAATTGTCATTCCTTTCGTAATTTCAAAACTAAATTATGACTTTACAATAGCCTAGTCCGAAGTATCCTTGAATACTGTAGTGTAGTCTGGCTGCCGCATTACGCTACGCACTCATTACGTATAGAAAGAGTTCAAAAATGGTTTATGTGGCATTTGGCGTTTTCTGAGGGTAAGTCAAGAGAACTACGATCTTATGAAGAAAGACTTAATTATTTCAAGGTAAACTCTTTATCTCATAGAAGAGAAGTGCTTGATGCTAAGTTTGTGAGTAAACTATTAAATAACAAAATTGATAACCCACAACTATTGAATTTGCTTAAATTTCGAGTACCTATAAGAATCCCTCGCAAACCTATTACACCACTAAGAAGAACAGTGCTGGGAAGTAATTCTCCTTATATTAAATTTTGCAAAACAATTAATCTTTTTAGCGATCAAATAGATTTTCAAGTTGACTCAATAGCCAAAGTCTCTTAAATAATGTATACCTCACTTTCTAAAATTTGAATATATACATTTTACCTTATGTAATAAACATCCATAATTGAATTTAATTTATTTTACAGCTGTTTATTTTAAGCTACATTTTTATTTTTTACTATTTCATTATTTATATTTTTAATTTTATATTTATTGTTATGATGTTTAACTGTACTTTCTGTGCTTATCTTTAAGTTATTGTTACACTTATACAAGTACTTATTGTTTCTTTCCTTTTTTATTAGATATAGTGTAAACAGTTGTTGATAGGCCTTTTAAAAATAAAAATAAAAAATAAAATAAAAAAAATAAAATCTCTGCGATACTATTGGGGTGTAGATGGATTACCTTATAGGGTCTTTTGAAGACAGGCTTTGTCCTGTCATTCCGCGCTGTCTTTGCCACCTGCTTATATACTATTTCACTTACCTTGAAAGATACTTCTTCAGCATCTCGGCTTCTTCTCGCGATAACCTGTTCTATGTTACCGGACATGTAAGCTGCAATACACTCCTGTATCGCTTTTACTTTTATTCGGTGATTGAGTACATAATCCTGGTAGAATTCCTTCGGGTTAAACATTTCTAAGGTATTTCGAGATTCTGTGTGATCAAATAGCAGTTCATGTGGTTTATAGTCTGTTACGAAATGTATCGCGTTATTGTATCCTATGATCACGTACTTCATAATATGTTGAAT